ATATCTTTAGAGTGGCTTTGATATAGCACCACTGTGACTCTGACTGTCTCTGACAGAGAGAGGGCAAGGGCTGGGAAGTGATGGGTGGTGCACTGTTGCTATGGAGACTGAGCCAGGGGGCTGGCAGAGGGCTCACTGATTGATTTTGGTATTGTATCTGTGTGGCTTCTGGAACATTACCCAGCCTGTCTCACTGCAGTGCTGCTCAGTTGAGGGGGCAGGCATTCAGCAATGTAAACACCTGATAAATCCACAATAGCATTTCTCGGTAATTTATTAACATAAGTAATTTATTTATTATGTTGCATTGTAAAATGGATCTCCCATACATGTTAATGCATAGCAGAGAGGATAGGAGAGAGAATAAGTGTTAAATATGTAAAAGAAAAGCAGACGAGAAAGACGGGTGAAGGGCACAATGGAAGGAAGAACTTACGGTAACTACTCTCACTATCACTGGCATTAGAGGTGACATGCTCTGAAATCATAACAGAGGGGGAATGGATGATGAAAATCAAGAATAGGAGCACATGATGACGCATGAGGTGGCTTCAAATAAGCGATAAATACCAGTCCTGAATCTCACCATAGTGGAGAAATATTCACACCACTAAGGGAGTACACAGTACACCTTCTGAGATGAGTTTTGTGGCTTTTAGTCCACATCTGGTAGTTTTGAGGTCATATGCTACTGTACTCTTAATAGCTGACAAAGTTACTTAGCACAGGTCATAGTAAAATAAATAATAATAATTCCAAATAAGCTACATCTACATAATTTCACATTATTACGGTTTCATTCTGCTTTCTAAAGACTGGTCAGAATGAATGAGATTAGTCACAATTTGTTTTCTACTATCGGCCATTGATTCACATAGATCTCTTCAGGTTGTACATCTAAAAGTACTCTAATAAAATGTTAATGCAATAGAACCTAAATATTTTCAGCTAGTTTGCCCTATTTTATTTGTATTATTTTTCAATGTAGAAAGAGGTCTGTGGTAACAATTAAAAATGACTAAATTGGCAGATTTACAGATTTAGAATGTTAAAGGGATAGTTCAAAAGTGAAAATTCTGTTGTCACTTAATTCCTTGTTCCAAACCCATAATTTCATTCATCTTTGGAACACAAATGAAGATATTTTTAAAGATATTTTTCAAGCTTCAAAAAGTTCATAAAGACACCATAATTGAATCCATATGAATTTGAATTCCATGACATCTTGTAGAGACAGAATTGCTTCATATGTTGAACAGGATAAAAAAACAATAAAATAAAGCCTAAATTAAATCTCTTCATCATATAAAGCAGGGATCTCCAACCCTGCTTTTGGAAACCCTAGTCAACCTCAGCTCAACCCTAATTATATAAACCTTAACCAGGTAATCAAGCTCTTCAAGGTAACTTGAAAATTACAAATGAACGGAACTGAAGTCTGCAGCTTGCAGTTGGAGACTCCTGATATAAAGTGATTGCGTCTTTTCAGAAGACTTACATTAAAAAATAAATAAATACATACATAAATAAATAAAAATATATATTTTTTTATTTTTGGTCCATAGATGAAAGTCTTGACATGAGGGTATGTAAATGATGATAGAATTTAAATTTTTGGGTGAACTAACCCAAACTTAAGTCTTTATCTTCCAGCAAAAGATGACTCATCTTACATACACAGATGCATTCAAAGTTTTGTCCAATAACATGGTCTCTAGATTGCGACTGTCCCCTCAATCACACATAAGGGATAGTTCACCCCAAAATTCTGCCGTTAAATACTCACTCTCATGTCGTTCCAAACCCATAAGACCTTCGTTCATCTTCAGAACACAAATTAAGATATTTTTGATGAATTCTGAGAGCTCTCTGACTCTCCATAGACAGCAAGGATCCTAACACGATCAAGGCTCAGAAACGTAGCAAGGAGATTGTTAAAGGAAAAGGAAATTGTTGTTTCTCTTTGGAGTGTTACAAGCTCTTGGTGCATAAAGAAGATCTGTAAAGTTGCAAAGACTAAAGTCTCAAATCCAAAGAGATATTCTTTATAAAAGTTAAGAGTCAGTCACACCTACCTAAAACAGCTCGTTCTAACACTCCCCCACATATCTACATCACTATGTGGGAAGCTTTGCAAAACGCTGCCCAAATGTTCTGTCTAAATGTCCTGATCCTGGGAGAGTAGACTACAATGCCGGCTGTTCTGACTCAAAGACTGTAAGTACGTTTTTTATATTTAAAGAGTTTTTATATTTTATATATTTAAAGCGAGTTTTTTGGGCAGTGTAGAGTAGGGCTTGTTGTTTGTCATTTCTCCAATCACAAATGCAGACATGGTTTTATGTTTACGCGGCGCGATGCAACGCAACGCATAAAAAGACAGTATAAGTCATTATAATCCATAATTATGTCCCCACTGGATGCAACGAATGCCTCGTTTATAATGGGTTTTCATGTTTTTGAATCATTGCTCTGGCCTGACAGGGCATCATCACAGTATGGTAGGGGCGTAACATTTCCATCACACGCTTGAGGTATTCGGTCAATCACAATGCACTGGATAGCTGGCCAATCACAGCACACCTCACTTTTTCAGACCGATGAGCTTTGTAAAAATCGACACGTTTCAGAAAGGCGGGGCATAGAGGAGAAACAATAATGTACAGTATGTGGAAAATAATGTGTTTTTTGAACCTTAAACCGCATAAACACATTTCATTACACCAAATACACAAAATAATGTTCTTTTTAGCAGCATCATATGACCCCTTTAAAAGAATCCATGTGACATCAGTGGTTCAACGTAATTTTACGAAGCTACGAGAATACTTTTGTGTGCATAGAAAACAAAAATAATGACTATTCAACCATTCGTCTCCTTGTGTATGTACAATTCGTATGTATACAGATACATTGTTTATGATTTGATCTGAATGTAAACAACGTATCCGCGTACATACGTTGCATGTTTACGTAAGTGATACTCTCTAAAATGGGTGACGCGAGGAGATGAATTGTTGAATAAAGTCGTTATTTTTGTTTTCTTTGCACACGTAGCTTTGGAAAATTACGGTTGAACCACTGATGTCACGTGGATTTATTTTAAAGATGTCCTTGCTACGTTTCTGAGCCTTGATCATGTAAGGATCCTTGCTGTCTATGGGAGGGTCAGAAAGCTCTCAGAATTCATCAAAAATATCTTAATTTGTGTTCCGAAGATGAACGAAGGTCTTACAGGTTTGGAACGATATGAGGGTGAGTAATTAATGACAGAATTTTCATTTTTGGGTGAACTATCCCTTTCAGAATACAACCTCCAACCAGAAACAGCAAATCACGGTTTGTTTTCAGCCATGCTCGTATTTCATTTCCTTTCCTTTCCCAAACCTAATTTAGTTACAAAGTATTTGGAATTAATTCTAATATCAACCAGTAAACAGTCAACTGTAATTAAATAATAGTTTGACTATCTAGAGCAGGGGTGCCCAACCCTGCTCCTGGCGATCGACTGTCCTGCAAAGTTCAGCTCCAACTCGCCAGGAGCAGGGTTGGGCACCCCTGATCTAGAGTATGATGGCAAATAATTATCACATTTTTGTTTCAAAAACAGATTTTCTCATCAAGAGAATATAAAATATGCAGGTACTGAATAAGAGGACATTCCATAGAGCAAAGTGAGACAGTGGAGGAAAAAAACAAAACAAAGTTTCACCTCCACCAGCAACAGCAGAAACAGAAAACTCTTTGTCTGGTACTGTATGAATTATGAGAGCAAGGAATGAAACATGTGAGAGGAAGAGAGATAGCGTGGAGGTCTGGTCCAGAGGTGACCGAGTGGGCATCTACATGGGGAACTTACTCTGGCCTTTGGATAGCATGTCATCTGGGTTGTCCTGTGGATCGGTCAGGAAGGGAGCAACAAGAGAGACAACAACCACAAGAGTACAAGGGTTACTGAGACACTCTAAGGCCTGGTCCAGCCACTGAACACAGCAGGCACCAAGCTGTCTCTGTCCACTGGTGTTGCTTTATCTAAAGTAGGCTCTGATGTCTGCTGCGTCCAGTGCAGCAGTGCCCACCTCTGTCCTTATGACCTGCTGCCCTATTCTTGCCCAGCATTGAGCTGGAGTGCTGATTTCTGTACTTACGGTCCACATCGCTTGTTTCCTGCTCACTCGCCTCCTTGTTCTTGTAGAAAGGGAACTTGCGGGAAAACAGATTCTTTTTACGCTTGTCATTGAGGGACTGTTGAGGAAGAGAAGGAAAGGGAGGGCAAAAGAAAAGAAGGGAAGGGGAAGAGGGCTGTCTAATGTCCATATGAATAAAATAAAAGATGAATGTTCTGCTCTCGACTTTGTGGACCTCTGATGGCTTAATCAAATGCCACTGATACAATTAATAAGAGTTAACTCAATTAATGGAGGATGTCACAAAGTCAGAATTGTATATGAAATGCATGAAGAACTGAAGTGGACAAATAAATGGATTTGAGTCATAGACTCAAAAAACAGCTAGCAGCAGGAAATCTCAAACACAAGAGAAGCAGACGGACAGATTTGCATGCAGAGGGTAAGAAGCATTGTGAGTGTGCCAGAAGCATGTGGAGGCCTATAACTGCTTTGGTTGTGGCTGCTTTTCTTATCAGCAGCAACATGCAACAAAACAAAAAAAGCAAGTTGGCCTGATTTACTTTTCTTTCGTTCAAGGGCAGGTGAATATAGTATGAAATACTTAGCTGTAGAAACAGCTTGTATGTAAAATTATTTAAGCATTACTGTATGGCTTTTTTCTTCGGCAGTGATGCAGCACCTGGACTAGAGGTGCATTTTCATTCTTATGCAGTGATCAGTTATAAGCCTGGCTGGTTTACACTGCAGCACTATGGGTTATTGGAGAGCATTGCAAGGTAGGTAAAAAGAGGAAAGTGTGAGGATGAAGGACAGGAGAGGAGGAGGTGTGGCATACAGAAGTACGAACAGTTCGACATCAATGGCAAGCGTATTTGTCCTTTGTTTTCCTATCATGCATGTTTTCTCGGGCTGTTAGATAATCTGGTGTTTTGACTTCTATGCCTCATAAATGAGTTATAGATGTATTACAGTACTGTTATATGCGTTTTTTGGGCCTGCAACACTTACAGCTATGCATGCTGTTAATTTAGACTAGACCATTCATATGGCAGACTGATTAGTATCAGAATATTACATTCCACTGAATGCACTGAGCATTATTAATTGTGAGTTAATATCAAATGGTCAAACTTTCACAGAGGTAGGAACATTAGCAAATACTAACTTGTAAAGCAATTTGAAATGCATTTCAATGTCATTCTAGATACACAGTATAAGCAACATACTACAGGAGCTTTGTCCAATCCCTAGTGAGTTGCCTACTTCTAAAGCATTTAAAACATCATACTCCTGATGAAAAGGTTGTTCCATACAGAAGGAAGCAAGCATATTAAAATACTGCTTTCTAGGATGCCTCATTTTGTCCAAAATCTAAGGCAGCATGCCAATATAATTAATCAGATGGTTGGGGTCAGTAAGATTTATTTATTGAAAGAAATTACCATCTTTATTTAGTGATGATGCATTAAATTATCATTTATAATGTTACTAAATCTTTCTATTTCACAAAATGCTCCATTCATCAAAAAAAATCCTGATAAGTGTCATAATATAAAATATTTATTACATTTATTAAATATAAAGCAGCACATCTGTTTTCTACATTTACAATAAAAAATAAATAAATCCTAAACACCAAATTGGCATGTTAGAATGATTTCTGAAGGATCATGTGACATTGAAGACTGGCAGACAAGTTGAAGAAATGTTGTGCTAAAAAAACTCTAACACAACTTAAAATACAAATGTACTCGTATTTGTGTGTGCACGACACAGGGGCGGTCAATTGCAAAGTGTTGCAAATCATTTACTTACGAGGCTCCAATTCAGTCAGAATGCGGTCTTAAAAGACATGTAGCTAGTAGACAGCAAAGCAACTCACTTGGTTTTGGAACAGAGTATTGTTCAAATCTTTGTAGGTATGCATGCATAAAAAGATTCACTCACCCCTTTTTCTCGCGACTTGGAGTTGAATTTAACTGTCTTTAACCTTGCTCTCTCCTTCTTCTCCACTCTTGAGAGAAAACATAAGGACCACGTATTACATTAGCTGTTATTCACTATTAATCAGTTACACTGCATTTAATGCTCCTTCATCGGAACATTTCTAAGACATGCACTTGACGCTACTGAGAGTAACCTATCAGCTAAGAATACACGATGACAAACTCAGGTCCGGTCAAAGAATTCTGGAGTGGTGCTGGGTAGGGCTGCACGATTAATCGAATGCGATTGTCATGCGCATTTTGATAGTAATGCCGGTTCTGTAATCAGCAGGAAATCATCATCACGTGCTTTCTGATGGAGCAGAATTTTCATTTCAACTACGGCTCTGTGAAGTAAATGCTGCTCCATCTGAAAGCATGTGAAAATACCACATTTAATAACATATTTTTACTCCAAACTCACTTCATAATGTCAGTCGAGTGTTTGAAATAAATCCTTTTGTGAGATGATGTGGCTTCTTACACAGAATAAGGCAAGCAACATATTTCATAGTATTTAAGCAGTGATAAAGGCATTGCATTATAAATATACTTTATTTTAATGAAAATTATAATAATAAGAACTCAGATAAACTATATATTGCCGTAGTCGTGTGTTTACTAGTCAAGTTGAATCAATGAAAGCAGTTGAATTTGCTGTTTATTCAGTTGCAGCGATAGGCATTTTCTGGGTTTCTTCTGCGAGGCATATTTGGAGTTTCAGCGTGAGAGTGCCCTCTGGCCTTTGGATGGAGATTTACAGCTGATCACAGAACCGTGCTTCACTGAAAGATATGCATGACAGTCGTAGCTTCTGTCGAATCGAGATCTCGATTCCATTTCAATTTATCTGAAAGCATGTGAAAATACCACATTTAATAACATATTTTTACTCCAAACTCACTTCATAATGTCAGTCGAGTGTTTGAAATAAATCCTTTTGTGAGATGATGTGGCTTCTTACACAGAATAAGGCAAGCAACATATTTCATAGTATTTAAGCAGTGATAAAGGCATTGCATTATAAATATACTTTATTTTAATGAAAATTATAATAATAGGAACTCAGATAAACTATATATTGCCGTAGTCGTGTGTTTACTAGTCAAGTTGAATCAATGAAAGCAGTTGAATTTGCTGTTTATTCAGTTGCAGCGATAGGCATTTTCTGGGTTTCTTCTGCGAGGCGTATTTGGAGTTTCAGCGTGAGAGTGCCCTCTGGCCTTTGGATGGAGATTTACTGCTGATCACAGAACCGTGCTTCACTGAAAGTTATGCATGACAGTCGTAGCTTCTGTCGAATCGAGATCTCGATTCCATTTCAATTTATCGTGCAGCCCTAGTGCTGGGGGACCTATTTATACTATTTAATACAAACACAAACACAAGTCAGCATGACCTGCATCCAAGTAAACCTACCAGCCTAAATGTACTTGCAATCAATATTTTTTGTCATTTCATAAGCTTCAATCTCTCACCTTCTCTTGCTGGGGATAACACCCATTTCTTCCACCTCTCCTTGAGGAGTGACCTGCCGTGCCTGCCACCACTCATCATCTGAAGCATTCACCACGTGCAGTATGTCCCCAAATTTGAAGTTCAGGCCTTGGCTGGGCAGCCCAGAATCCTTAGTTTTATCATAATCAAACAGTGCCCTGCAGAAAACAGTCAAAGTAAGACCAAAGGAAAAATATACTTACTCCTTTAGCTGAGAGCATATGGTAAAGTCTGACCACCAGAAGCTTCAAAAATTGCTAAAACATTTCGATAGATGTGTGTAAACTGCAAATATAAGATATCTTATTCCAAATATGCAATTTAGTAAAAAAAAAAAAACAGCATTTAAAGTTGGCGTGAAATGGAAATTGTGATTGTCTTTTCTTCCATACAGTGACGTATATCCATGTCAAAGAGTTTCTTGAACATGAAAAATCAAGTAAAACTTGATTTCATCCATCAAGAATTGATTGGACAGTTGAATCGTTGTTGTTAGCTAATTGCTGTGATCTCATGTGAGTGACAGGTTGGTTGCTGTAGGGGAGGTTTTATTGCCCAGCTCTTGCGCCGGTATACATATCATCAGAAAAGGGACATTATCGCGAGGTTAATATTTTAATTTCAATATTATAAGGGGAAAAAAAAAAAAAAAGTTTTGATTTCATAGTGACTTTATATGCAGTTTTTCAGTTCCTTGTAGAATATTGTAGATATTTGTCCAGTACTTGACGTATAGTGATCTCTTCTGACTGGTCCTCAGGGACCCTGAGCCTGAGCTGATGCTGCTGTTCATCATCTGCTCTCTTAGGTCATGGATCTTGGCTTCAAAACGGCTGTACTCTGAAACACAAGGCCACAAATATCACCCTCATAAGGCATTGTGTGTATGAGAGAAGAAAGAGTGTTGCTGAATATTTGTGCATCAAAAAACAATGTTATCAAAGCACATGATCAAAGTTATACAAATATTCACACAAATAGCATTGTCATAAGTAGCAACTGGACACCAATTTATGCCCTATAATGGAAGTCTTCCTTTTCAATCTTCTCCAAAATGTTCACATGGCGTAAATGCCGTACAAATGTAAGTGATGCAGAACAACCATTGACTCTAAGAAGAAAAATGTCAGAATCAATACTTTATAAATGTGAGCCTATTGCGAATCTATCTGTGTTTATCAAGGGGAGTGAAAGAAAGCATCAGAAATGGTACCTTAATTGTTAAGAGTATAATAATGGTCTATAGGACAGGTTGAACAGTCAGACCTGGATGACTCAATATTCAAGTTTTAATTTTTATGAGACCTGATTGATCTGACCTAATGGCAATAGAAGGCTATAAAACAGAGTATTGGCTTATTAGATTTTTACTTCTCACAATAACACAGCTAAGAGTCTCCTGCTGTTCATTTAATGCTTTCTGGTTTGTTTTTAATGAGTGGTCAAATGACTGACGTGGAGCTGTTTTTCATCAAGCAAGACTCACCCTCTGGTCTGTACTGGGCAACGATGGTGACTGTTTGTCCGGCGTTCTTCAGGGCTGCCGCGGCCTGTTCATGAGTGGCACCGCGTAGGTCTATTCCATTCACCTAAGAAAGGTACAGCCATTTTTATATCAACAGGATAAGCAGTATGATAGTGGTCTGCACACTGTTAAGCACTGAGCTCAGTGTAAGAAAAACTCCTGATTAGATGCTCATCTTCAGTGTGACAGGGCAAGGTTTCAGTGCCCACTGTAATACTCACAGACACCAAGCGGTCTCCTTTCCTCAATTCTCCACACAGGTCTGCAGGGCCTCCGGCCAGGATGAAGGAAATAAATATGCCCTCTCCGTCTTCTCCACCCACTATGTTAAAGCCAAGCCCTGTAGAGCCTCGATGCAACACCACCTTCCTGGGTTCCCTGCATACGCAAAAAATAAAAACATGTTCTTATACAACCACATTCAAAATCTAAACTTACAGACTCACAGCATCATACACAAACTGTTCATTTTGTCTGAAATAGCAAAAACCATTACAGCTAGCAAAAATTATTACATTTTCTAAAATCAGGAAAGTACGCTGTGTTCTCTGTATTGTACATGTCATACAGCACGATTCTATAAGAGTTAGACATACTAGTTTGTAAGATCACATTTAATGACAAGTCTCTTATGCAGTAATTCTGATGTAATGATTTCACATTAATACTGTGAAATATTTAATTTAATTTTTGAAAATAACTGTTATATAATATATAATATATGAGCATCATATGTGCCATGAACGCCTTGTATATATATATATATATATATGATATACAAACAATACAAACAAACTGAAATTATTTTTGATATTATTCCACAAATTAACATTCTTTAAAGAGTGCAAGGTCAGTGCATATAACTGACCTCTTGGAGGCACTGCTGGTCTAGTTCTACTACACACAGCCACAAAACAACCCTGTGGCTAACTTACAATACTGATACTATAAAATCAAACACCATTTTATCACATCACCTCTTGCCTATTAAATAGGACATTGCTATAAAAATCCACAATGAACACAATGACATCTAGAATGGGCCACATGCTCGTTTCAGGCTGTACTGTATGTTTGATTGTTGCTCTAAACTTCAAATCCTCCTGTGCACCTAAATGGTCAGATTAATAGAATCGTTTGTTCTGCTGGATTACGACAATCTTGTTTATTCATTTTCTGGCAAGCTGGCTAAGAGGCTTGATGATGCGCTGCGGTTTTTATGAAAACGAACCCACACATGACGTGGATGGGCTAAATTTGGAGCTTATCAAATTGCTAAATCGGCAATGATGTGTCGTTTTGGGTATGTCTGGTGTTACATCTGGATAAATGGTAAAACCACACTCTTTTTTGCAACCAGTTTGATTTTTGATTGTGCTCTCTTAAGTGGGCCAATTCTAAAATTAAAATAGATATAACCTTGTAAAATCATCACATATGTTTGGCATGGATGGCATGCTGAAAGGGGAACTGCCATCTGCCCTCACATTTGACAACTCCCTCAGTGAGGCACTGCAGCTTGGGCCAAATGATCTGAGTAAAAGTAAATAGCAATTCGATACTCCAGTTAATTATATCAAAAAAGTTCAGAGCATCTTATCTACTAAACGGGTCATGATATCATCCTGAACATCACACGTGAGACTCAGAGCACTGACTTGCTCTGACATCACATTATAAAAATAATCATGAACCGCTTGAAGCTCCCCTTTTGCTGAACTCAAACATCAGGCAAGATTAATCCGGTATTCATCTGATGATACTAAGTGTACCACAAAATAATGGCAGGAAAACACCTTTCTATTGATATACAGCACTACCAATGCAGTCTGAAAAAAAAAGAATATTATGAGCCGTCCATTTAATTAATCACTGAATAAGACTCTCAAACTATTCTTTCATTAAAGATCGGAATTAAATCAGGAAATCTGTATCAATACCCAGCCGTAATAAGGACTATGACCAGTTTTGTTTATTAAAACTATAAAAGAGTAAAACGTTGATCTATACACACAAACAGCAAAAAATCTTGAGTATGAGTGTCACATCGTAGATTTATGCAGACAATTTTTGACAATACCTGGTTACATCATCATCCCCCACAGTGGTTTTCGGGGTTGGGGAGTAGCGTCCGGAATGCACCGGAGGCAGTGGCTGGCTCAGATAGCTTGGAGGGCTGATATGGTTTTCCATGTGTTGCGAATAGGCTGGGAAAGAGGAAAACAGGCACAAACATTAAAACAGGTCACAGAAACAAGTCTCAAACACCTTGAACTGCATTACCTAAAAGCTTGCACCAAAGAGTTCCGAGATCTCTTTTTATCTAATCCTCCAGACATGCACAATTATATGCTATTCAGTTTGCACCCCTATGAGAAACAGACACGCTGACAGTAAATGATACCCTGGGATGAGCTTTTAGCACCTGGGCCTCCACTGCAGCTCCGCTTACAAAGATATCCACGTGGGGGAAAGAGACCTGGGGGTCAGGGTGAAACTGAGCCTAAACTATCCTTATTTTACCTTTCTTTGTCTCTCTGTAAAGGTCTCATTTGAAGCAGACCGTTAGCTGAGCTCATGAAAAAAGGCTTCCTGGGTATTGGTGCATCATCATATGAGCTCTGTTGACTTGAAAGTATGATCCATACTTGCATAATCACAAAATGATGGTAAAATGTGGAAAATATAAGTATTGAATGATTTCCCCAACTATCCCAAATAGGTTTTATGTCTGTTTGTCAGTATTTACCATCTGCGGTTACTGTTTTAATGTCACCTGTGTGGAATGCATGCTTAAATGTGTTAACTGTTGCAATGGTGATATGGTGAAACAAAACTCTTATCTTCCCTATAGTGTCCACTTCATGAAACACTGCTCTTACCCGTAATGAAATGTGACATCTTTAGTGGGATGAGACCAGATATGTGCTCTCAGAGAGCAAGATTCAAGACCACAATGTACTTGTGAAAGGAAAGGACCACTTTTAACACAGAAAACAGTGGCAATAGCATTCTCTCTACAGTACTGCACTACAGCCTAAAACAGAACGAGAGGCTTAGCTGCAGAAACCTCTTTTACCCTCAGGCGAAGCAGAGTGGAACAGAGTGGCATGATAAAAAAAACAAAAACAACAGATGGTAAAATGCATGCTTTATGGCTCTCCATGGGGACAAAAATATAATCTACTGACACGAAGGCTCCCCCTCTGCAATACACTAACCAAATCAAGCAGATCAGTGTGTCCAAAAAGCACGCTCAAAAAAAGAACAGATCTTGAACACTATTTACAAGCTATAAACAGCGTTATTTCCATTCTGAGTCAGGCTGCTGAATGATTGTGCACACTTAACAAAATTATTTCGCATTTATTAACTCCGACTCAGGTTCACTTTCTGAGGCCTGTGTACCATCGTTCCACATGCTGCCTTCTATGCATTAAGATATTGCTGCTTGGATTAGCAATACAGACTTGACCATGTGATCCCAGCCATGACTGAATTTGTGATTTGTCTTTCAAGTCAAGTAGAGAAAAGCAACCTTGTCTGCTGGCTCCACCATTACAGTATAGATGAGTCTCAGGAGTGGTGTGAGTCTTTCTGCATCAAAATCAATCATAGCTATCTTCCACAACCCAATGATCTGCCTTGCTTGTCTTTACAAGAATCAGAACTTGAAAGAAACCTCCTAAGTGACTGATTTGAAATGTGCTACAAAGGCAGTAACTATGTGCATCAAACAAATATGCATAGGAGAATGTCAATACAACATCAGAACAACACAGGCTCTTAACAGGCATAAAATATAAAATTAACACAATTTGGGTAAAATAGTTTTTAATTATTTATTTAGCTATTTTCTTTTTACCACTGAATGAAACCATAAAAGTTTGTAATTAATGCTGGGGTTGCCTCTGCAAAGGATATCCTGTCCTAAAGTCGCAATGTAATGACAGATAATTTCTTCCCTATTATGATTCTGAGTAAAACTAATTATCAAAGAAAAAAGTAGAGCTGGGATGTGGTTCTAAACAACTGTTGTTGATTGTATGAAACCTCATCTGAATGCAAGTTTCTACAAAAAAAAAAAACATATGAATTAATGAATTGTTCCCATAAGATGCATTTAGAAAATAGATAGCATCAATTTCCATTTCATGCTGACCAATACCAAAATTTGTTATCTTAAAGAGTCACACTAGACGTTGAGCATCCATAATGTAAAATATACATTCTACTGCAAAATTGCAGATTTAAAGTTTGAAACCTTTCACATGATACAAATTTGCAGGTCAGAGTTCACCAAACCTGAACTCTGTCTAGTGGTTCGAACTGATTTCTGTGTCTAGCAGGTCATAAATTGTGACCGATGTGGGGTGATTTTGTCTAATTGCTTCATACACAGGTGGGATCATTGCTAACAGCAGAGTTGTGCAGGCTTTGACACTGGGGTACAACATGGCAAGCATTCTGTTTAAGGATTAAAAATGAGTGTGTCTAAAGGGAGTTGTGTGGGGTGCATCAGAAGGGGCAGAGCGATCAAGAGCTTTCTATGATGAAAGCGTGTCTGATTTGGTGGTGTGGTGTTGTGTCTGTAAGTGTGTTACTGTGTGTCTGGGGTCAACAGCCTTTAAAGAGCTTAGCAGTGGAGAATGAGGGTGGTTGATTATGTAAATGTACAATAACTTTAAGGTAACTTTCTTTGACAGGCTTGAGCTTACTAGGAAATTATTCTGTCTTCAAAAGTCTAAATGTTGTAGGTCAAAAGCTGTAGTCCCCACAGTACTGGGGGCTTTGAAGCTACAGTACAAAGCTAAAGTCCCTTTCACATGACTTGCGTCATGCTCACATCTCTCAAAACAAGCATCCTGCAGTGCTTTGACATCCACATGAACAGCACTTCAGATAAGGGCTGTTTAGTCATGTTTCATCAGCGAAATTGTTTAACTGTCTTTTTTTTATTGTCATTGTCTGACACATTTCTATGAACACCATGTCATTGTTTTTTTTAACCATCCTGCCACTACTGTGCTTTCAGTGCCAGTGAGATTAAGATATTCCAATCAGATGAATTTGGAGAAAGGAAAGTTTATATTTGCAATTCATGTGTCATAAAACGTAATATATCTTAAAATGCACAGGATCAGGCCACCAGCTACATAGTAATGAATAATTATTTGTCTGATAATCATTGGCGAGGTTTTTAAAAGGTCAACAACAAATGGTGTTAAAGTTGATATTGACATGAATCATGTTTTAAAGGCATTAAACACGTTCACCTGGGTTCATCCTGGCTTTTCCATAAGACGACACATAAATCATGTTGACTGATAACTGAAGGGATGGGTCACATTGATTGACAAGCAAATTAGTCGTCCAACAACTGACTAGTCAATACCTGAGATGGACTAGCTCTTCTGGATTTCTTTTTAGTTTTTGATATGTTGGCAGTGTTTTAAAGTGCCCCTATTTTGGGTAATGAAAGGTTCATATTTTGGTTTTGGGAGTTCCCAACAACAGGTTGACATGCATGTAAGGTCAAAAAACACTTTCATTGTCTTATAATATGCATTTATTTTTACCTTACTTGCTCAACGACTTCCAAATGATTCGCTCAACGATTCATTTTTCCAAACCCCTCATTTGCGTGATGCTAATCTGCCCTGATTGGTCCGATTGGCCTCATTTTCATTGCATCATGCCTGTAATGCCTAAAAAAGCAGCGTTTGTGAGTGCAGTGCTACTTTGTGTGTACAGCGTTACCGGGGAAACCGCTATTTTTACCGCTCCATAAGCGGGACCTAGTGGCAAAGAATGAATTTGAATTTTCATTCAGACCAACGCGAAAAGACCAACAAGTGGGCGGGCAATATGCTAATGATTCATGTTGACGTTAACATGAAACTGCTTGGAATTCGTTTTAAAAACGACTCGTTTCAATGATTCAGAGTCGACTCTTTCTTTTGATAACTTTATACACGGTGCACTTTCAGATTTAAAACTTTGCAGGATGTTTTCATTCACTTAGAGCTGTGTTACACACTGCAAAATCCATAATAGGGGCACTTTAATTAGCATGTTAATAGCATTTCATGCTTTTGTGTTAGACAACCTTAGACATATTGCATAAAGCTGATACTTTAAAGATTCTTTTTGGTGTTTTGTCTTTATTATGATACGGATCATGAAAGGTCCTTGAGCCGGGATTCCAACTCGGAACGCCCGTAACGCAATGACGTTATATTGACACATTGCCCTCTAGGCTATTGGCACCGACAAAGTTGAAACTTTAAAAAATAAAAAAATGTATGTCTAAAGAACAAATAATGTTTAAACTAGAAATGTATCATGTTTCCCTTTATCAAAACAATTGCATAGAACATACCTGTCCGAGTGCCATAAATATTATTTTTCCAAAGTTTGCATGCCTGTTTCTCTAGTTTTAAATATATCTCAATATCCTTTTAAATTCTGGTTCTTCATAAACTTTTCTTTTGTAACCTTCATTTTTAAGGCCCTATATGATTCATTCCCAGAGACATGGGGAGCCCAAAGCGACTCAATGTCCAGATTTGTGAATTTTACCAGTTAAAAAAAAGGATGCATAGTATTTAAAGAATTACATTTTCAGACTATTTACATTTAGCATTGTCTACTTTTGATTGGATCTACAAAAACGGATCTTAATACCAGATGTAAAGACAGCTTCTGGTTCCTAAGAAACTTTTATTTTGGAATCCTCATAATGCCCTATATGGTTAAGAAATAATAGGATCTCAATGCAGCTCCATGTATAAAGTGCTGAATTTCACCCATTTTCAATGGTAAAAATCCTAATTTGATTTTGTGTTTATCCAGTCATTACTGTTGACACTGAAAATATGCAAATAATAACAGTAACCAAGTGTTTTGGAACGTATAGTAGGCCTGTCACGATAACAACTTTTTGTTGTGCAATATATTGCCCCAGAAATAATTGCAATAAGCGATATTAATGTAATTTTAAAGACCATTTTATGCCACTGAATATATAATCATAATATAAAAGCATAATAATGCAAGAAGGCCAACACACTTCCAAATGACAACAAACTTTTAATTTTTAAGAATATTTAGATCATGGAAATTAAGTATCAAAATATTAGATACCTTAAAAAACTTGAATAAATAGTAAATAAACATTTTCTAACAAAAAGTGCAAAGTAACAAGTAGAAAAATAGAAAAATGCACAACAAACTTGTATGGAGATTTTTCCATCTACAGATTTTTCCCTGACCCTTTTCTCTGTAAATTAAGAGTGCACACCATTGCTGAAAAACACAATCCCTACTTGTCCGTATGCACAAAGGCACAGATCCCTAAACAAGGCCATTTCTGCAGATGAAACTTTTTTTGTAGAAGCATTTTTTAAAATTTGAACTAGCACCGACTACACCACGTTATGCACGAGAAGCTGCAAAAAACACAGGCGCAAGTGGAATGCAAAAAACATGGTGACATTAATTTTTAAGTAAATATAATGGGCGATATATTGCGTCACCAAAAATGATTGCGGTCATGTACATATTTTGTGCGATAAGTCGATATATTGATTACTGCGACAGGCCTAACGTATAGTGTGACACATCAGATTAATAACCAGGATTAATAAAACATTAAACAAAATAAGATTAGCAGGGGTTTAAAATGACCTAGTGTTAATTATTTCAAGTGTGAGATCTTTTAAAGTTTCAAGTACTATCAGTGATTTCTCCAAATATGCCCCTTAGCAGTGGATACTACTTGATTTATGACTATGCGTCACGTTATAAAAATAGGAAATTCTAATACTTAATCCAGGTGAGGAAAATCTTGGTTTATTGATGTGAATACAATGTGTAGGGAGAGCAATCACATTTACCTAGGATGTGAAATCTGTTTCGAAAGTAGTTATGATACTGCATATTTGAATTAACAAAATTCCTTCTTCCCTATATCCAAATATATTTAGACATAGAATCTTATGAATGACTACTGAGATCAAGTTAATGTGCCTAAATGTGACCATTTCAATTTAGTTTAAGCACTCAGACGTGTTCTATGCAACTGTTTTGATAGAGGGAAACAAGCTACAATTCTAGTTTCAAAATTGTTTTTTCACTCCCCTTTAAATACAATAAGTATCAGCTGTATACAATGTGACCCACATTAGTTTTTTAACCATTAAAGGATTGGTTCACTTTCAAATAAAAATTTCCTGATAATTTACTTACCACCATGTCATTCAATATGTTTACGTCTTTCTTTCTTCAGTCGAAAAGAAATTAAGGTTTTTGATGAAAACATTCCAGGATTATTCTCCTTATAATGGACTTCAACAGCTACCAAACGGTTGAAGATCAAAATTACAGTTTCAGTGCAGCTTCAAAGGGCTCTACACGATACCAGACGAGGAATAAGGGTCTTATCTAGCGAAACGGTCGGTCATTTTCTAAAAAAACAAAAAAACAAAACACGTATATGCTTTATAAACAAAAATGCGCACCTTGCACTGCTCTGCGATGCACATCCACGACTTCACGTAATTACGTTGAAAAGGTCACGCTTGACGTAGGCGGAGGTTAGGTTTCAAAAGATTTAAACATCCAGGATACGGACACGAAGTGACCATTTTAAACTATAAACTGACACAAAGACATTTGAATATGTGTCATTGAACATACAAAAACTTTTGAACGGCCCTCCTTCTCCACATTTGTAAACACTGACTGAGTTGGTACTTCCGCCTACATCAAGCGTGTCAACGTAATTACGTATTACATGAAGTCATGGCATTGCAGAGCAGTGCAAGGCGCGCATTTTTGTTTATAAAGCATATACTTTTTTTTTTTTTAGAAAACCACCGTTTCGCTAGGTAAGACCCTTATTCCTCATCTGGTATCATGCAGAGCCCTTTGAAGCTGCACTGAAACTGTAATTTTGACCTTCAACCGTTTGATAGCCGTTGAAGTCCATTATAAGGAGAATAATCCTGGAATGTTTTCATCAAAAACCTTAATTTTTTTTCGACTGAAGATAGAAAGACGTAAACATCTTGGATGACATGGGGGTGAGTAAATTATCAGGAAATTTTAATTTGAAAGTGAACTAATCCTTCAAAAATGGCTAATATTTAACAACTGGGACATGGAGCTGCATTGAGATCTCCATATCTCTGGGATTGAACCATAAAGGGAATGAAGATTCCAAAAAGATTTATTCTAAAAACCATAATCTAAAATCATATTGAGATGATTTTAGTTGAGAACCACTGGTTTAGCTGTTCGCAAGAATGTATTCTATGTAAATGCCCCCTGAGAAACACATCCAGTTGGGCTGTCTTAAAAACACTTCCACAGAGTTCAGACAGATCCCAACCCTCAGCATTACTGAGTCATTAGTGCCTTTTTTAAGGACAGGAAGACCCATGGAGGGGCATTTGTGCAGCAGTGCTTTCACCTCTACCGCACAAATTAAGCTTTAATGGCTGCGAGGGCAGCACGTTCAGACAAGAGCAATCGATAGTAGTTTAGTCCTCTGTGGCCTATTAGTGCTCCTGCTGGCAGGGCTACGAATAGAGCACAGATCAATACGACCACTGCAGGGCATGGGCTTCACACAATGCAGCAGTCTGTACAAGTAAGACACTTTATCTTACCCCCCATACTCCCCCTATGTGGAACTCACAGTTGGTGATGTCTGGAGGGGCAAAACTGTCATTCATGAAGACACTATTGGGTTTAGCCACTTTCAAGTAGACTACGTCTGGGGTATTTTTCAAGGCAGTCACGGCATGCTCATGGGCAACTTCCTCCAGGCAGGAGCTATTCACCTATGACACACACCAAAACACACACAGACATTAATCTGTTTAACAAGCACACAGTCATCAACCAGAAGCAATAGACCGTTTCCTTACAGCAAGAAGTTTGTCTCCTATCTGCAGCCTCCCATCTTTATGTGCAGCTCCACCTTCAATAATCTTAGTGACGTAGATGCTATTGTCCCCTGGGATGTGCTGATTCCCAACACCCCCTGCTATACTGAAACCCAGACCTGGCATAAACCAAGATACAGACAAAAACAAAACATTATTTGGTGGTGACAGCAAAACTTAGATTTAGCTGCATCTCCTAAAACATCTTAAAAAAACAACTAGACCAGGGGTGTCAAACTCAACTACTGGAGGGCCGGAGCCCTGCAGAGTTAAGATTCAACCCTAATTAAACACACCTGATCCAACTAATAAAGTCCTTCAGGCTTATTTGAAAACTACATGGTGTGTTGGAGCAGGGTTGGAACTAAACTCTACAGGGCTCCGGCCCTCCAGGAATTGAGTTTGACACCCCTGAACTAGACAGAAGAAAAATTAACAGCAGCTAAATAATCAACACTATCTGCCATAATGAACATTTACACACAACAACAACAACAACAACATAAAATGCTATCCTGTAATCTTTTGAATTTAATTTGAATAAACTAAAAAGAGAGAGATAAACCGATAACTGCAAACTGTGAGTAAAGGCGAGAAAGGAATGTATCCATGGCAACAGCAGCTTAAGGTTATTGCAGTGTTGTGGAAACGCTGTGGCTGGCCTTAAAATAGCCCTGTTGCGTATTTTTGTGCGTGTGTATATATATATGCACAAAAAAAATGCTACGGGGCTAGACAATTGAAATGGTCTTTTTATGGTCTATGGTCTCCAGATATAGCGTGATTTTAACAATCATACACTCTGAACTCAGATATTAATCCCAAGAAATTATTTAGCAGCACTCTTGTTTTCTCAGTGTAATGCAGGGAAAGATTAGAGGTTAAAAATGTCAAATTTGGTTGGGTGAAACTGAAACTGTTCTTCACCATGATATTCATCTTTTTTAATAGAGCAAGAGCCACAATTATAACTATACATAGAGCCTAGTCAAGCCAATGATGAAGGTTTTCTGCCGAGCATAGCTGCAAATTGTTGTGCTTCGCTTTGAGGTGACTGTAAAGATTTGTAGTGTTTCCACATTGTTGCCACTTGAGATTTACATGTTTTACATATAACTTCAGTCTGCATGTGGTCATCTCTTTTATAACCAAAATACCGCCATATCTTTGAGGTGCTTCTATATTTTGGCACTAAATCATTGGCAGCAGCTGTGGGTGCCTCATTTTATCAGATTAGCTCGCTATGAAAGCATCATGGCTTGCTGATTGTCTTGCAACCGAGCACGTGTACACTATCATGCACACGCGCACATATCCCAACCAACATCCGCATGCCAGATGCTATATTATCCACATCCACTTAAAACTTTGACCATACATAACTTTTCAAAGTATTAAATCACTCATCACAAACCATTGCGATATGCATACCAGTATATGCACATTTGCGATATTTCAATAATTTCGATAAATTGTGCAGCCCTACTCACATTTGTTCTGTATGTTCTCGTTATACAGATCATAAACATTTACATTCAAACTAACCTAACATTTAAAATTGGTATGACTTTTAAAATCCCAGGTACATTGTCAAATGTAAAAAGCTACACCAATGAAAAATCAACTGCAATAATGAGGAGTTGGCTGGTGTTACTTTACCTTTGGGTCCTTTGATAAGCTTGATCTCCATGACTTTCTCTGATGCAGACTTTCTCCTCCTAACATACAGTCTGACCAGTGACCCCGCTTCCTTCAATGCCTCCACAGCCTTACTGTGAGTCACATCCCGAACATCAACCTCATTCACTCGCAGAATCACGTCATTCACCCTGCGTGGAGTAAAGTACAGGTCAGACATGCACAAGTAACAGTGCAGTGTGCGGACATATCAATCTAATTTAACTGCACAGTGTACACTGTCCATCAACAGCAAATTCTAGAGATGATGTAACTAAGCTTAATACTAGTGATGCACCAAAATTTCAGCAACCAAAACTATTCTGAAACCAAAAATTCTGTTTTGGCCAAATATTTTTAGTTGCCAAAATGTTGGTGCATTACTAGTGTAAAGATAGGATAGGAGAAGTTACATAGTCCTCAATGTTCAAGCAAAAGGGCTGGGTGAATATGAACTGTTGAACTCCTTCTCTTTACTACTACTAAAAGCAAAAAAAAAAAACGTTAATATCATGGATGGATCATATTATGGATGACCATAAATCTGTCCAGGATCCTAGAGCCAATAAGTCTGAAGTTACCTAACCAACCAACTCTTTCACAGCTTAAACAAAGAATCCTAAGGAAGAAGGTCGTCATCTGGGAGGGCCAAAGAGACAAAACATCATGACCATCATGAGTAATATCATGAGTTAAGGCTTCCCTAGATTGGTTTCCCCCACCCAGGACAGAGACTAGACGCAGAACCCTAAGACCTTTTTGACCTCTTCCTCACATAACTGAATTCTTCAGCACTCACAGAACGGCACAGAGACTGACTTTACATATAATGAATGCATCAAATCATCATAAAAAATTATGCTAAAAGTTATGCCGATACTACGGTACCAAGTCGGTATAAACATTTTAAAATCCTGCCGGTGCTTGTTTTTCTACCGCAGCGTAAGTACCGATGGTACCAAAGGTAGCGACTAGCAAGGCTGCAATTCTTGCGGAACTGACAAAGGCAAAGCATACGCCTGGAAGTGTTTCAGTTGGTCCTCAAAGGGTAAAGAAAAAGAAAAAACTCCTACAAGGCAAGCACACAGAAGAACTATACGTGGAAGATGGCGACGATATATGAATATGATTGTGTGAGATTTAAATGAGCACGCAGCTCTAAAAGCACGAGCACTGCACATGATCACACACACACACACTGACTGTCTGACAGCTTACAGCTTGCTCATTTGTTGTGTATCCGTATGCAGTATTATTTTTAATGTTATTGGCTAATATTACTGGTTTAAATAATTTATGTTTATGTTAATGGTTTAAAAAAATTTTTTCGGCCTGCCAGTATGTCAGTGAATTTAAACTATTAATTGCATTCAGAGAATAGGTGTGTATGTGTTTGTGTGCATGTGTGTATTATTTGAAGGCCATTATTGTTATTTTTTCCCGTGGTATTGAGTATTATGTACTTTTAGTGGTATTGGTACCAACTACTAGATTTTTGGTATCGTGACATCCCTATACCATTGCATTGAACTTCATATCTCATATGTGACCCTGGACCACAAAACCAGTCATAAAGGTCAATTTTTTTAAATTGAGATGTATACATTTATGCATCTTCTGAAAGCTGAACAAATACGCTTTCCATTGATGTATGGTTTGTTAGGATGGGACAATATTTGGCCGAGATAAAACTATTTGAAAAACTGGAATCTGAGGGTGCAAAAAAATCGAAATGTTGAGAAAATCGCTTTTAAAGTTGTCCAAATGAAGTTCTTAGCAATGCATATTACTAATAAAAAATTAAGTTTTAATATATTTACAGTAGGAAATTTACAAAATATCTTCATGGAACATGATCTTTACTTAATATCCTAATGATTTTTGGCATGAAAGAAAAATCAATAATTTTGACCCATACATATTTTTGGTCCAGGGTCACATATGTAACCCACACATTTGACATGTGACACACTGATCATGTTTTAATCACTCAATGTTTAAGTCCTTTTGAATAACTACTGACTAGTTTATATGTTTATATTCGAGTTTGGTATGTGTGTGTTTGATAATTTGTGCTTAAAATATTTCTATCAATCAATTCTTGGTAAAATGTATTATATTCTTCTTATAGAAATCATATCTAAATTACACTCTGGAAGATGAACATGTTGATTTATGTATTGGGAGGAGAAACATAGCAACACCCCAAGCTAACACCATTAGGGATGTGTCTAACAGCCAAGTTTAAAACCTGATGACATGAACAATTCTGTGTGTTCATTTGTTTTTGTTCGTTCAAGCATGCCTTTGTCACTTTTTTGGGATTTTGGGCTTCTTGGCCCGCATGCCTGCTGTTCCTTTACCATCCTGAGGACATAAGCCATATAGTGTCCTCGTACTCTTCTCTTCTTTTCTTTCTTTCCCCTAACACAGGCAACGCAAGTAAACCTCCAGATTCTGAACTGGTGCATTTAATATAAAGTTTCATAGCCTCATTGAAAAAGGGTTAAATGAAATGACTGATGGTTGTTCAGGTCTAAGCAATTGCACATATTGCTATAAACTGGGGATTTCACATTTTTTCCACACTTTCTCTCTTTCTGCAACTTATGTGAATGTGGGAGTGCATGTGTTTATGTGTTAGATTAGTTTATGTGTCTTAGATTCATAGGTCCAATAAAGTCTTGCTCATATTCAGGGCCGCATTAAGACCGCACTGGGCCCCGGGGCTATGACTTACTGCAGGGCCCCCCCATCACGATAGATAGATAGATAGATAGGGTACAACGGGGCTAAGGGCCCACCTTAAGAATAAATGTGCCATTCACTGCGCCTAAAACGTATAATTGCAGAAAAAATATATACGTTGTATCGAACATTAATGGAGCAACAGATTTTGTTAAGTTAATACTTGTTCAAAACAATCACTTTAGCAAAGTTTGTACTATTTTCTACTTATTTTGAAAAATAAAAGTATTATTTTTTTCCCCAATAAATATGCTGTCATTAAAATGTGTTAATATAAAAAAATATATTTTAAAATACAGAAACAAAATCGTTTTAATACGTAAAGATTCTGAAAATATTGAAGGAGATCCAATAATAATTGAATATATATTTACAGTAGTAACAGCAAATGATATTTTATTATACGATATGATTAATATATGGTGCTTATCTCTAATATGGACACCCAACATAATATATGATATTTACCATCTGAATCTAACCATGTCATGTCAACAAATGGAAAAGTCAGCCATCTATTAATTATCATGTTATTTATTGTGCGCCTTTAGCCCCAACAGCAGGGGGCTAAAATACCATACTTTTACATATTCTTTCGTTATTTAAAAACTGTTGCTTTAATTATCTAAAACAAAACTGAAAATCATAAAGAAGACCTTTCTCTCAAAATAAATGCATTCATTTTAGCGATTCTCATTTGCTACTTAAATCTACAACGTTTTAAAAAACATAAAATATTAGATCAAGTAAGCACAGAATCAACTTTGCACTGATGCGCGCGATCACGTCAAAGATCAGACAAATATACACGTGCATCTAGAAAAACGGATGTTTTGGAAAGTGCTACGCCACGTTTTTGTGCCATCCAGTAGTTTAGATGAAAATAATATCAAAGGCGCCTTTAGCCCCGTTGTACCCATATATATATATATATATATATAGCTTTAAATAGGATTTTTATACCATATCACAATTCTTGATGCACTGAAATTTCATAATTTTTGTTACCAATTTCAATATCAATAAAAAATAGTACTAGCCTAAGTAAAAATAAGCTTACTGAAGACAAGTAAACGGTCACAAATTAGGCTACAACAGAACAAAGATCATAAAAAAACGGCCTACTTGAAAAACTTAAAAGCACTGAATAATAAATATATTGTATAAAGAAAATGTGCAAACAGACTGAATAGTCTTCACTGTATAAATTCAATATACATTCATTCTTATTTATTTTACAAAAGTGATTCAGTCAAGGACAGTAAGTTATTTTCTTTCTGATGTTTGATTTACATTATTGACACAAATGGTAACAGCAGCTATATTAGGCTGCATTACAGCAAAGATGAAAATTCTGTTGATGTTCTAAACCTGTATGAGACTCCTTCATGCTGTTGAACACAAAATAATATATTTGGAACAATATTGGTAACCAAACAGTTGCTGGGCCCTCACTACTTCCATATATGAAAAAAAAAACACTATTGGAGTCAGTTGGGACCAGAAACTGATTACGATCATTCTTCAAAATATCTTCTTTTATGTTGAGGAGGAAAAGGAAATTCATAGAGGTTTAGAACAATTTGAGGGTAAGTATATGATGACTATATCTTCATTTTTGGGTGAATATCCTTTTAAGATCTCATCATACAGGCTAAGGATCTCATATAGCCTAACACATGCTTTATCTTTAACTATTAACATTCATTTAAAACACAAATAACTGTGTTTACGAGGATACTCGCAAAGACAGGCATTTTGACACATAACTATGTGTATTTGACCGTTTAAGCACAAGGAGCGAAAGTTTAGTCAGTAATACGAGCAGGTGTGCGCTGCGCGTATCGGGTAGAAACCGTTTTAACGCACGCATCCGCGAGGGGCTGCCGCTTTACTTTCATTTTGTGTTTGTTTATTTTATCATTAAAGTCTTAAATGTTCGCCGGTTCCCGCCTCCTCCTTCCCGATCTACAAACGGTGTTACATTGGTGCTGAAACCTGGGAGGAAGGTTGCCAGAGATCCCTCGCCGCTGTGGTGAGTTTGCGGTGCCATCGAGCATGGCGGAGCAGTCTGCCGCCATGGAGACTCGAGGCGGTGGGCTGGAGTGAGTTGCCGGGGGGGCGGACAAACTCGCTGAGGGCCGCCTGGGCTGTGGAGGGACGGCTGCCGTCCGTGAGGGAGCGGAGGAGTCGCCGCCGTTCGCCTGAGGCCGGACCCTGCTGCCATCCGCCATGACGGGAGGAGCAGGGAACGGGGGACTCCTGCCGGCTGCCCGAACCCGGAGGAGCCGTCGCCGTCGACCGGGCGGCGGAGGAGTGTCGGGCCGTCCACCGAGGCCTGTCCAGTGCCGCCGTCTGACATTGAGGAAAAGTTTACCCAGCTGGTGGAGGGCCGAGTGGCAGT